ACTTTGTGTGAAGTAATTACAGCATGTAATGTGGGCAGAAAAATAGATTCCGTCCTTTCGCGGCAGCTGAGCGCCGTCTCCTGCATATTTATGGGGCTGGTGGGGCGAGGGGGTGGGGAGGGGGGGCGGATAATGGTATGGAAATATTAAGAGGCTTCTCTCAAGCTTCTTCGCTCCTGTGGCGGAGGAAGGAACGGCCACGCGGAATGCAAAGCGAGGCTTTTAACAGGTGCCAGAGAAAGCCGGCCAGCTCCCTGGGGTGCCCTTGGAGGGAAGGCGAAGAGCCCGGCCCGGAGTGCCCTGGCCCGGCCGGCAGGCCGTGGGGCGGAGGGGAGCAGGAGGGCGGGCGATTTTGCGGCCCCCTTTCCCCCTTCTGCCATTCAGCGTCCCGCACCCAGCACTGTCACCGCCAGCCAACGCTCTGCGTCACCATCCTTGGTGCCCTCTGTGAACGGCTCGGCCCAGAGGGAGGGAGGGGTCGGCTGGCAAGGTGGACTTCCCGGGGGGTCTCTCCGAGGGCCCCCTGGCCAGTGCCGCCCCCTGCCCTAGGACGGCAGCGATCCGAATGCTCCAGCAGCCCTTGTGCTCAGCAGGGGAATGCTTATGTGCGTTCCGCGGCCTCCCTGGACGGCGGGGAGGGTCCACCCGGGGACTGCCAAGCAGGAGGCCGGCTGCTGCCAGAGCTTGCCCAGGCGGGGATAAGACGCAGGGCAGCCTTCCGAGTCGGCCGGGGAGGCAGCGGGCCGGGCCTGAGCGTCCCCTTGGCGGTCCGGGGAAAACGTGGAGCTATTGGAGCCGTGGCAGAGAAATCTTTGTCTGGCAGGGCAGCCAGAGCGGCCGCCAAGCGGGTCGGCCTCCGGCTCCGTGCCGTGAAAAGCGGAGTCCGGACTGGTCTCCGGACGCGGCTCTTGCCGTTGGCGAGCTGGGCCTCGGCCGAGCCTCCTTGCACGGGCGCGTGCGACGGCCGCAAGAAGCCTCCCGCCTCCCCCCCACCCCTGCCCGCCCCCAGCTCCGGGGTCCGCACCTCGAGGCGCTTGACCTGCGTCCTCTCGAACTCCAGGCGCGTCTCCAGCTCGCGGATCTTGGCCTCCTGCCGGCTGACCAGCGACTTCTCCACCATGGACTGCTCCAGGAACTCCAACTGGCTCTGGGTGCCTTGCAGCTGCAGGGGCGGGGGAGGCGGGGGTCACTGGGGCTCCGGCCGGGCGGGGAGGCCGGGGGGCTGGGGGGGGGCCTACCTTCTCCTGCAGCTCCTGCTTCTCCTTGCCGGCCTCGTCCAGCTGCGCCTGGAGGTCGCTGATCTGGGCCAGGTCCCGGGAGGCCTGGGGGAACACGGCGGGGTCAGCCCGGGCCGGGGCCTCTGCTGCTGCAGCCACGGAGAGCGCGTGCGGCCGGGGGTCCTTCACGGGGTGGCCGGGCGAGGGGCACGGGGCTGGGGGCGCCCCAGCGGGGGGCTCACCTGCGCGACCGCGGCCTTGTGCTTCTTCAGGAGCTCGTTCATGTCCTCCTGGTCCTCCTCCAGGCGGCTCTGGATGTCGTTCTTCTCCCGCTGCAGCCGGCTGAGCTGCTCCTCCAGCTGGGGGGAGTGGGGAGGGCGGCAGCCCGTCAGCGGGGGCCTCGTTCCCCCCAGGCCCACGCGGTGCGGGCCCCAAGCTGTGCAGGGGAGCCAGGCGTCCTCAGAGGCCGCGTGGGAGCCAGCCGCAGGGCACGGGTGCGTCAGGCCTCACGGGAGGACGCACGGCACCGGGGGGGGCACTGTAGGGACGTGGGGGGCTTACCCCTCCCTTGGCCTTGGACAGGTCCTCGATCTGCAGGTGCAGGTCCTCGATCTCCACCTCCATGGACTTGCGCGCCTTGACGGCCGCGGCGCAGGTGAACTCCGACTCTTCCAGCTGCACGGAGAGCCCCGGTCAGGACCGTGCCTGCGCCCCGCAGCGGCGTGGGCCCCCCCACGAGCACGAGAGACCCGGGCCCATGCTCCGGGGGGCACCCGCCAGAGCCCGGGCCCGCGGCGACACCACCCGCCTCGTCCCACTGCACCGGCGCAGGGCCGCCCCCGAGCGAGGCGAGGCGCCGGCCAGCCGGCCACGCACCTGGTTCTTCAGCTGGGCGACCTCCCGCTTGCTGGGGGCGTTGTTCTTCAGGTGGTCCAGCATGACCTGCGCGTCGGCCAGGAGGGCCTTGGTCCGCTTCAGGTCCTTCCGCAGCCGCTTCTCCGCCTCGAAGTCCCGCTGGTTGACCTGCCGGGGGAGCGACCGGAAAGGTGAGGGGCCGGGACGGAGAGCCGCTTGCCGGGCCCTCCTGGGCCGTCTGGGGCACTGGAGGCGGGCGTGGGCCCTGGCCGGCGCGGGGCGGACTGCGACGGCTGCCCTTTCCTTCCGCCTGCGGCCCCCCAGCCAAGCACGGCTGCTCCCCCCCCCCCCCCCCAGCGCCGCACGGCCCTACCTGGTCGCTGACGGCCACCAGCTTCCCCTCCAGGTCCCGCTTCTCCCGCAGCACCTTCTGCCTCTCTTCGTACTCCTCCTCCAGCTGCAGCTCCATCTGCTTCAGCTGCCGCACACGAGGCAAGCAAAGGGCTCATTCCCACCCCCCTGCTGGGTGCCCCCTCCAGGGTCCCCCCCGGCAGGGCCGGGCCGGGCCAGGCCAGGCCGCAAAACGCACCCCCTCCTCGCACCTGCCCTTCTACCTTTCTGGGGCTCAGCACCTGGGTGGGAGGGGGGCCCTGCCTCTGGCCCAGCACGAGGGCTGGGCCGAAGGAGGGCGATTGCGGGGCGCAGACCCCCCCCCCCCATTAAGCAGCCTGGGGAGACTGGCCCCTTCCAGCTTGACTGGTGGAAGAAAGGAAGAAACGAGGCGAAGGGGAGAGGACGGACAGGAGGACGCTGCTGGCGTGTCTCTCCGGGCCCAGGAGCAGCTCTCTCCACCCCCCATGGCCGAGCAGGAAGGGAATTTCGGGGGAAAAGCCCCCTCGGCCTGGCCCAAGGCAGGCCCCTCGGCAGGAGGGTTTGCTCCTTCCCGGACGGGGCCGTGGGCACGGGGCACGTGCCCCCAGGCCCACGCTGGACTCCACTTGTGATCCAGCCTGCTGAGCCCCCCTGTTCTCTCAGGGATGCAGCTCAGCCCCCATCCTTGCTGCTCGCCAAAGGCTTGGGTTCAAAAGTCCCCCCTTCTAATGCATGCACAGCCGTGGGCCCACGGGGTCTTTTGGAACAGCAGAAGCGCTTTGGATGCAGGAGAGCCAGTCAAAACTGGCTTCCAAGCGCACAGAATGAACGGCGCGGGTGACTAATAGAGGCATTGTGCTCAGCCTGTCAACTGATTAGAGAACTTTTGAGTTGGATAATCATAGGCACTCCAACCGATTAATTAGTCTATTAAAGTTATATAAATTTGCTTTTCAGAGTTACTGAAGGAAGCACGAGATCTCTCTCTCACCGCCTGACAAACAGGCGCATCCCACCGTCTGTCAAAAAAATCCTTCCCACCTACGCCTTCCTAGCAACAGTAACACACCTGACGCAAAAGAGCCCCAGACACTGAACTGGTGTGCCTTGAGCTCAGAGAAAGTCGGCCCTGAATGAGCACTCCATGGTTAGCGATTCAAGATTTGGGCTTCTGCCCTGCCCTTCAGCCCCGGAGGGAACCTCGCGGTGGCAAAGCTGCTTTCTGCTGCTGGGACTCAGCTTCCTGTGTCCCTGGACTGCCCCCCAGTCGCGGGGAGGGGTTATCCCGTTCAGGGGAGCCTTCTAGCGCCCCAAGATTTCAACGCAAGCCGGGGGGGACTCATGCGTCGAAAGATCAATCCACAGTGGTGGGGAGGCAAGGGGAGCCTCGGCTCAACAGCAGGGCTGGGATCGTCTGCCCCTGTGGGACCCCCTCCTCTCGCGCTCCAGAAGGCGCTTGAGCGGCTGCAGGGCAGCCAGAAGGAGGCGAGGCCCCGTGGCGGAGCCCGAGCGTGTCCTGGTGAGGCTGCGGGTGGGGCAGCGGCGTGTGCTCAGGCAGGAAGGGAGTCAGGGAAGGAGGAATGCCGCCGGGCCACTCTGCCCTTCCGGTTGCCGGCTGGCTGCTCTGGGAGGCGGCCAGACACCCGATGGGCGAGCAGGAGGCCTGGTCATGGGTCCTTGCAGGGAGGGGGTGGGATCTCCTCCACAGCCCGGCCCCGAGGGGGGGCAGGCGGGGCTAGCCCCCCGGCCGCGGGGGCTCGTGCAGCCACGCCGCCCGTCCCCACCTGCGCCGTGGGGCGCCCCTCACCTTCTTCTGGCACGACTGCCGGATCTCCTCCACCTCCTCGTCGCGGCTCTCCACCTCCTTGGCGTGCGTCTGCCGCAGCCTCTCCATCTCCATCTCCAGCCGCAGCTTGGCCTGGGGGGAGAGGCCCCGGTGAGCCCCGAGACGGAGGGGCCGCCCCTTTGCTTCGCTCCGCTCCGCTCCGCTCCTCTTCCCTTCGCCCGGCTGCACCCAGAGGGGCAAAGGGGGCCGAGGGGAGGAAAGGGGCAGGGCCGGCTTGCCTGCTTCCCCCCGCCGAGCCCATGGCTCCGGCAGCGGACTCCCCCCAGCGGGCACACGCGGGCCGGCTCCGAGAGGCAGGCAGGCAGGCAGGCAGGCAGCGGGGGCATCTTCCTCGGCCACCTTCCTTCCCTCCGGCACGGACCAGCCAGCGGGATGCTGGCCAGGCCCGGCCGGCCCAGGGCCTCGTCCTCTTCGTGAGGAAGCCTGGCTCCCCGGCTGCCCTCCTCAGCGTCCATGTCTCCAAAGGAGGTCGGGTGGAGAAGGGGGAAGGGGGGCCCTGGGGTGGGAACCCCGGACAGGGGAGGCGGGCACAGCAGACTCCTCCAGCGCCAGCCCCTCCACGGGGCCCCCCAGGAAAGCCCATGCCGCTGCCCTGACGCGGCTGTGGCGCTCCCTCCCGGGTGCCCCTCTGCACATCGCACGAGCTTGAGTCCGGCTGTGGCACCCCCGAGATGCGGGGGGTTTCTGTGGCAGCCGCAGCCCCTTCGCCAGGACCCCCCAGGAGCCCGGCTGCGCCCGAGGGACGTGTTCCTTCGTCAGGGGAGGGATGCCCAACCCACCGGCAGCCCCACCAGGGGGCAGGGAGGAGGCGACGCTCTCCGGCCCACTGGGCCCGGCTCGCCACCACCCTGCCGGCCTGGGAGGTCCTGAGGCGCCCCACTGCCAAGAGCCACACGGGCCGGGAGGAGGCCCCGCTCGGCGCGACGGCTTCGGAACGGCAGGTACTCACCCGCCGCGCTGCCGCGGCCTCCACAGCCTCCATGGCCGGGCAGCTGCTCGGCACCCTGAGACGTGCGCAGCCGAGTCGCCGGCTGGGTCGCCCGCCCGAGCCTCCCCGCCGAGCCAGCGCCGCCTCCTCCGCGGGAGCCGAGTCACGGCGGGTGACGCGGGAGCCAGCCGGCAGGATGGGGCGGCCCACACCCCCGCGAGGGCGGCACGCCCGGAAAACCGGCAGAGCCGGTGCCGGCGGGAGAGGGCGAGCCGGCCGGCCGGGCCCTACCTGCTCCAGCATCTGAATGGTGCCGGCCTGCTCATCCAGCTCCTCCTCCTGGTCCTTGGCCTTGGCCTCCAGGTCCCGGAGCTGCTTCCGGACCTTGGCCAGGGAGGCCTCGTCCTTGGACTCCTGGGAGGAGAGGTCCTGCAGCTCGGCCTCCAGAGACTCGACCTTCTGCGTGAGCCCCGCGATGCTGGAGTCCTTCTCCTGGGCAGGGGGAGGAAGACGGGGGCTTGATGTCTGGCCGGCCAGAGAGGCCCGCGTGGGCGGCCGAGAGGCCGAGCGGGGACAGAGGGGACAGGGGGAGGCAGCTCGCTGCAGGGGATGCCGCCCGGGGGTGGGGGGCAGCAGGGCTTTCAGGGATGGGGCTCGGCGGGGGCCACCCACCTCGAGCTGCTGCTTCAGGCTGAACATCTCGGCGATGAGTGTGTCCTTCTCGCGGGCCAGCTTCTCGCGGGCCAGCTTCTCCCGCTGGGCCTCCTCGTGGGCTTGCGAGAGCTCGCTGTCGAACCTGCGCACGTCGGAGAGCGAGGGGCGTGCCCGCGTGAGACACGGCTGTGCCCCCCGAAGCCCCCGCGGCCACCGGGGCGTCCCGCTCTCCTGGATGCTTTGATTTCGGGGGAAGAATTCGGGCCCAAAGCAGCTCACACACCACCGCAAGGACCCCGGTGCAGTCAAATTTAAATCACACAACGCATTTGGCAAAGCGACCGTATCTTATCGGCACGGGTGGAGCAGGACCAATTTCGAAGTGAGCCTCTTGGGGGAGAGCATCGCACAGCCGAGGGCCAACACCCAGAAGGCCCTGTCCCCACACACTCGCCAGCGGCCCCTCCGATGCTGAAGGGGCACCCTAGAAACGCTTAACGGGGAGGCTGAAACAGGCAGAAACATCCGTGTCGCCATGAAGCCCGCGCAAGACAAGCGGGGAGGGGGAGAGGGAGGGGGAGGGTCCCGGTGCGGGGCAGCCGGCCTCCTCCTCTGCCGGAGGTCCGGACCTGCAGCTTTTCTGCAGGAAGGCGGCTGGGCCGGGCCGGCACAGGTGTCGCTTCGGCTTAGTGGCCGCCCCTTCCCAGCACGGGGCTTGGGGCACACAACACTGGGGCCCATGGTGCGTTCGGGGCTCCACAACGGATGCGGCGGCGGCGCCAGCGGCAGGCACGGGGGCCAGCAAGGTGCGGGGCTGCTTCCTCGCCGAGCTGGGGGTGCCGGGTGGGCCGCGGAGCAGTGGCCGAGGCGCCTCGCACTGGCCCCCCCGGGGGCTTCGTTCCCTGGACCCGGGGCCTCCTCGGCCAGCCAGCGCATGGGGCTGACCCACAGCCACGCTGCCCCGTTGCCCCTGGGCGATTCCTCTCCCTCCTCCTCTGCCCACGCAGGGCAGCTGGGCACCTCCCACCGCTCTGGCCCACCTCTCCTACAGCCCGGCAGATCAACCCGCGGTTCCGGATTCACACGGGGCAACAGTCCATGGTTTGAACAACCCGGTGTTCCGAGCCCAGCCACAAACCGCGCGAGCGGCCCCTGGAGCTTCCCCGGGGAGCCGGCGAGCCGCTCGTCCCACCAGGCCCAGCCTCAGGGCAGAAGCCTCGGTGGGGACCCTGGGGGGCTGCCCCACGTCTTCGCGGGCAGCCCAAGCCGCTCCGCCGGGAGAAGCCGGCGCACGCGCCCCCGTTTCTACCCTGCCTCGGCGGCGGCGCTCGCCCGCTTATTTAGTGACCCGTGTTAATCGTCCAGTCAACTAATCCCCATTCTTCTTGGCGCTGGGTAATAAATAGCAGCATTAACGCTGGCTCTGCTCCTCGGAAATTGAAATTAATTAGGTTGATTCTCTCGCTCGCCGGGTCTCCTTTCCCCCTCTCCTTTTGCCGTGCGATCATTACCATAATGAGATGAAAGCGCCTCCGTTGCTTAATAACGTTTTTTAAAAAGCGAGGAGAGCCTCGTAATGGAAAAGGAGACGGTGCGGCGGGCGGGGGGCGGGGGGGCACAGCCCCGGGCCCATTCCCTGCTAACGGCTCTCCAGACAACCTCCCGACGCTGTAATTGCCCGTCATTAGCGGGGGCTACCTGGGCTCGCGCGACCAAGGCACCCAGCGGGGTGGGAGGCAGCAGGCCGGGGGGGGGGGCCCCACATCCACGCACACAAAGTGTCTCCCACGCGGGGAGGGGCCGCCCTGCCGAGCAGGCCTGGCCGAGCTGGCGCCTCCCGGTGCGGAGGCCTCGGGTGCCCATGATCCCCCGGAGCTGGGACGCCCGCAGGGAGCTTCCTGCCACGGCCCCGCGTCTCCGGCGCATCTTTCCGGGGAAGCTCAGCATCCCCAGGGCCTGCCCCCTCTCGCCCGGCCTTGGACCCGGTGACCGGGCCGGGCCCCCGCTTCTTTCGGGGGGGGGCACTTCCGGGGGGCTCACCTGCGCTGCTTCTTCTCCAGCTCGTGGCTGCGCCCCTGCTGGCCCTCCAGGTGCAGCTTGGTGTCCTGCAGCTCGGCCGTCAGCCGCTGGCACTTCTTCTTGAGCGCCTGCACGGCCCGCTGGCTCTCCTCGGCGTCGGCCTGCAGGTCCCCCAGCTGCGGGGGGAGGCGGTCGTGGTCGGCGCGGGGCCCCGAGGCGGCCGGGGGGCCGAGGGGCCCCGAGCGTCGCCCCGCCAGGCGTGTGCGGGGCCGGCGGGGCCACCGGCGGGATGGGTGGCCCCGGGGCCATGATCTGCTTTCAGAGGAGCCCCGCAGGCCGGAATGTGCCCCGTGCAACCAAGTTAAGCCTCCGGGGGGACGGCGCGGCCCCCCAGAGTTTGGGGAAGGGGGTGGGTGGGCGGCGCAGAAGCCAGCAGCCCCGGGCAACGGCGGAGGGGGGGACGAGGCCGCCCCCCATTCCAGCCGCCCACTCGCGACTCGGAGGCAGCCGGGGTGGCAGTGGGACCCTCGGGGGTGGGGGCAGCTGAGGGGGCTGCTGGCGGGGGCCGCACGGGGGGCGCACTCACCCGCCTCTCCAGCTGCCGCTTGCCCTGCTGCTCCGCCTCCAGCTTGTCCTCGAACTCCTGCTGGACGCGCTTCTTGGCGAAGTCCACCTCGCGCACGGCCCGCTCGTACTTCAGCCGCCACTCGCCGCCTGGGGGTCGCGGAGGCAGGGGGGAGCTGGCGGGGCCCACGCCGACCCAGAGGCCCTTCCCCCCTTCCCGGGCCGGGGCCAAGCACTCTGCCACAACGCCTCTCCTCTGCATCGGGAACCCCTGCCCCATCCCCTAAACTTGCCTCTGCTGACCATGAGGACTAGAAACTTAGGGGAGCTTTCAGGGAACAAGAGCTGGAACGGCTAGGCAGCTGTGCACCGTTCACTGTGATGCCAAAAAATCTGGCATGCTCTTTTGGCAAGGCCGGGTCCACAGGCAGTGGGGGGAGGCAGCTGGATGGCCGCCAAGAGGGGAGCAGGAAACCCACCGGCGTCATCCTCGTCCATCTCGCCGTTGAGCTCGGCGGCCCGGATGAGGCGGGCTTCCATCACCTCCATCTCCATCGAGTCCATCTGCTTCTTGAGGGCGTCATACTTGGCCTGAGAGGAGAAGGGGGTCACTTCAGCACCAGCTGCGGCACCGGCCCTGCGCCCACTAGGCCACGCTGCCCCAGAGGGCAGGATCCGGCTGCACTGTGCCTGGAGGCCGCAGGGCGGCAGGTGGGCTCCCCACGCTTGCGCTGGCCAGTCGGGCCTCCGTGCCGGCTGGGGGGCCGGGCCGGGGCCCCCCGGCTGAGCCCCTGACCTGCAGGTCCTTCATCTCCTTCTCCGCCCGCAGCCGCTCCGCCGTCTCGGCGTCCAGGAGCTGCGAGGCCGATTCCCCCGTGTTCCGCTCGTCCGTCAGCTCCGAGGTCAGCTCCGCGATCTGGGGAGAGCGAGCGGCGGGGTTGGCAGGCGGGGGGCCGAGGAAGCCCCCCGGGAGCCCCCGGCGAGAGAGGTGGCGGCGGCCTCCCCCCTGGGGCCACGGAGAGCCGCTCCGCCCCTGAACCCGAGGGCCGGGGGTCCCGCCCCGAGCCCAGCGGAGGGGCTGCCGGCCAGAGTGACGCCCCGCGCCCCGGCTGCCCCCGCCCGCCACCCGCCCCACGCCGGGGGGGCCGCAGAGCCCCCGGGCCGCACCTTGCTCTCCAGGCGGTCGCCGCTCAGCCGCAGCTCGTTGCGCTCCTTCTCCACCTTCTCGAGGCGGCTCTTGAGCTGCTGGATTTCCTCCTGCGGGGGGGCACAGTGTGGGCGGGGGTCACCGCCTGGCCGCCCCGGCCCCCCGGCCCGGCCCCCCGCCCTCCCTCGCGGGGTCGTACGCACGTCCTTGCCCCGGATCTGGTCCTCGGTGAGCTGGACTTCGATCAGCGGCCGGACGGTGGTGAAGAGCTTCCACCAGGGCCAGTCCTTGACGCCCTTGTTCTTCTTGATGTTCTTCTGCACGCAGCGGATGGCCAGGTCCTGGATCTGGGGGGCAGAGGGGGCTTGGAGGCCGGGCGGCACACCTGGGCCCCCTCGCTCCCAGCCCCGGGGGTCCGCCGGCGGCTGGCCCCCTCGCCCCTCCGAGGGCCGCGTCCTCCACCCGCTCTCTTCCCCCCGGGGCTGCTTCCGAGCCGGGAAGCCGAGCCCCGGGGTGGAGTGCAGCCCCTCCTCTTAAATTAGACATCATTTTGTCGGTTTTATTATTTGCTGCCCGTGGAAACGCGCCCCCCCCCGCCCGGCCGTAAAGCCTAATCGTCCGGCAAACGCGGCCCCGCTCTGCTCGGACGCCGGGGTTTATGCGCTCGGCAGTAAACCCAGCAGCTGACACAGCTCTTTGAGCCCGGCTGGGTCGCCCCCCCCGTCCGGCTCGGCCCCGCGAGCTCCGCGAGGGGAGGGGGCCGGAGGGAGGGGCGAGGCGGCGCCGCTGCAGCCGCATGGGGCTGCCCGACCCCCGGCGGATGGGGCAGGCGCTCGCCAAGAGGGCCGGGGGCGTGCAGGACGCCTCGGCCGCTCCGGAAGGGGGAGGGAGGGCCCTGCGGCTGCGCGCCCGAGCCCGGCTGGCCTGGGGGGGCGGACCTGCTTTCCCAGGCACCTCCCGGAAGGCCGGGTGCCCCATGGCAGGTATGGGGCAGGCCTGTGTGGAGGGAGCCTCGAGGGGGGGCTGCAGCCCAGCCCGGGGAAGCCCCCCTGGGACATGGCAAAGGGACGCAGCTCCCCGAGGGCACCCGGACTTGGCCGGGAAAGAGACTGTGAGGACACGGGAGGAGGGCGGTGGCCGGCCAGGGGATGATGGGAGAGGCGGCCCGGTCCGGCACGTCTGAAGGGGGCCAGGCGGGGGGACAGCCGCCCTCGGCAAGGCGCTGAGGGAAGCGGCGCTTCAGCCCCACAACTCCCCACCAGCGGCTCCCCCAAGAGCCCCACGGAACTGCACGGGGGGGGGCGCATGCCAGTCCTCCGGAGCCCGGTGGCTGCCCCCAAGCGCCCTGGCCCCACATCCCCGCATGCCGGCCCCCGAGAAGCCCCCCGGCTGCCTGGCGGACAGGAGGGGGGATCCATGGGGCAGCTGCCTGGGGGCGCTACGTGTGCGAGGAGAGAGCCCCCGCCTCCCACCCCCCACCGAGCGTCCGTACCTGCCGGAGGGGCCGAGAGCCGCCGCCCCACACCAGGGACCCGTGGCGCTCCGTGCAAAGCCGGCGATTCTGGGCCTCGGCCCAGGGCTCGCGGGAGGCTGCCCATTTTAGGCGAGGCGCGAGAGCAGCCGGGGGGGGCGGGCAGGGGAGGCGTGTGCGTGGGGAGGGGGTGCCGCTCGGGCCGCCCTCCCCCCCAGGCCCCCGGGCGACCCACCTTTCTCTTCTTGAACTGCTGCCGCGCGAGGAAGCCCCGGCAGGCGGCCTGGAAGAGGGCGATGTTCCGGCTCGTCTGCTTGTCCCGCTGCTCCTCCAGCTTGGCCAGGGTCCCTGCCCGGAAAAACACCTTCGGGGGGAGTGGGGGGGGAGCAGAGGAGTCACCAGAGGCGCCCCGGATCCGTGCTCCAGGGGAGGGCGGCTGGACGGGGCGCAGGAGGCAGCGGCACACCCCGAAAGCGCGGCTGCAGGCGCCGGGGAAGCCGGACTGCCAGGCGGCCCTGTGTGCGACGCACGGCCCTTTCTGGGGCGGCTGAGGCCGGCAAATGCCCACGCACCCCGCTGAGCCCCTGGAGAGCGCCCCCGCCCCGGCCCCGGCCCCCCGAGGGGCAGGCTGCTCCCCCCCAGGAAAGGGGCATTGGGAAGGCGGGCGGCAGCAAGCAGGGCCCCCCCCCCCGCAGAGGACGGGGCTGCCTTCCTGCGTGGGACAGACACGGGCTTCCCCCGGCGAGGGAAGGGTCTGCCGGACCAGCCCCAGAGGCCTCAGGGCTAGCGAGGGGCCTGGGAGCGGACGTTCGGGGCCAGCCTGTCGCGTGGTTCTGGACAGCCCGCAAATGTGGGGCCTGCACCCACCCGGACCCACTGAGCGCGGCATCAGGGAGGCCCCAACCAGGTGCGAAGAAGGTGGGCCCCGCCAGGGGGGCCGGGAGGGTCCCAGGGCCGCGAGGGACCGGCTCTGAACGGGGCACCCCCAAAGCACCAGCACAATGGGGGCTCAGCGGCTTCCGCAGAGGAGAACCTGCTGCCCGGAGCCGGCCGCGAGGCTCCGCCAGGCCGATTTCACGCCGGAGCATCGCAGAGCCGCGAGCTGGCGGGGGGGCGGGGAGCGTGCCCACGCCGCTCGGCCGGCTTGCCCTCCGCCCACTCCGAGTCCACGGGCTCCCCGAGCGTGCAGGATCGCTCTGGCAACCCGTCTGCACCTCCAGCCCCTCCCGCCCAGGGGCTCGCTCGCCCGGCCTGCCACGTGCTCAACCCTTTCCAGAGCCTCCCCCTGCAGAGGCAGTCTACCTGTCTCCAACTAGCAGAGGCCAGAGACGGGCGACTGCTACCCCGCACTCCCAACTCGCGAGCTTCCCCCAAGGCTGCCGACTCGGGCGCCGGGGAAGGACCGAACGCCAGGCCGGATGGCCCGACCCAGCAGGAGAATTCTGCGCTTAGCCGAGCAACACGGCAGAGCAAAGAGCAGCGCTGGGCAGCCGAGGCGCCTCCTGGAGCGCGTGGCCGCACACACGGCGCAAGCGTTGAACCGCAGGCGAGCCCAGAGCCCTGGGAGGAGGTCCGGCCTCCGCTGCGCTCCCCTCCCGCCCGGCTCCCGCTGCCCTCCCACGGGGAAGGGGCGCCATCCGCAGCCCCCAGCCGGGCACGGGCGGCTCTTACCCGGCTGACGCCCATGAGGCAGGTGCTCTTCTCCAGCTCCAGCGATTCCAGGAGCTCCTCCACGGCCTGGAGGAGGGGAGGCGGGCGTCAGGGGCGGGCGCTGCCGGCGCGGCACGGGCCACCCCGGCCCAACGCTGCCTGCCCGAGTGGCTGGGCACAGCCCCCGCCCCCCAGGGCCGCCCCCGTGGCCGCCCCCGCTTCCCGCCCCATCCAGGGGGCACGTGCCGGGGGCCACGCACCCGCCTCTCGTCCGTGACGATGTAGTTGCGCCCGTGCTTCTTGGTCAGGTGAGGCGCCAGCACGTCGAAGCGGCGCCGGAACTCCGCGAAGACCATGTGGTCCGGGTAGCCTGCGGGCGGCACCGAGAGGAAGGGGGTTTACGGAGCCAGGGGGACGGGGGGGAGGCCGGGGGCTGCCCAGCCGGCTGCCGGGGGGCAGATGGGGCAGCCGCGGCACACGGTCTTGGCCCCAGACTGGATTCCCTTTGCGGCCGGATTCCCTGCACGGCGGGCAGTGGGGAGGCTGGCCTGCCCGGGCCCTGCGCCGCACGGGATTCTGGGAAATTCCCCAGGGGGCAAGAGACGGAAGGTCGCGGCTGCCGCTGCCTCAGGGCGACCGCTGCGGGTGCGCTGCTCGCTCCCGAATTTGTACCCGGGCTGCACCCGCACGCAATGGGTTTGCCGCTTGAGGCAGGATTTGCGGGAGGGGTGGGGTGGGGTGGGGTGGGGGGTGACCTGCAGGCCAGAAATGGTGGATGGGGAGAGGGAGGCGGCGGCCAGGTGGAAAGCAGCCAGGAAAATCTAACGCAGTGTCTCCTGAAACAGAGGGGCAGTGGCACCCCTTTCCTGACTGCGCCCCCTTTCTCCTGGCATGTGGCCCCCGAAACGGAGCGTGGCCCTTGGCGGAAGGATGCGCCACGGCCCCGACGCTGGCAGCCCTCGCTCCCGGCCGTTTTGCCCTGCACCTCTATTAGAAGCCATACGCCACCCCTCCCGCCGCCAGTCAGAAGGTTTTAATCCATTCCCCTAACTGATTAATTGATCAAACATTGCAGCGCTACTAATAACAAATCGACAGAGCCGTCTCTCGCTCGCAAGAGGACAGCCGGGACCGCTCCGGCAGGACGCTGAACGTGGGCCTTGCACAGGCGGTGCCACCGCCGGCCGGCGTCGGGACTCGGAGAGCCATGCGCGCCCCCCCGGCCACAGGGCCCCCGTTCCCCCAGGTTCAAAGGAAGCGGTGCTGGACACTTAAGAGGCGTAAACGCACGGCTCAGGCCCACGGCCCTCCACCAGCCGGCCCTCCCGAGACACGCCGGCGGCCCGCCAGCTCGGGGCTTCGCACAAGCTCCAAATATGGCCAAGGGAGGGAGGGCACAGGAGAATTCCTGGCACACGCGGGGAGCTCGGCCGGCCCCCCAGACCGGGCCGGGCGTCACTGCCGACGGGGAGCCAAAGAGCGGCTGCCCGGCGGCCCGGCGAGGCAGCTTTTCTGCACAGCAATGCCATTTTTGGTTGTGCCGTTCGCGCCGTCTGAGTCAGGCGCCGGTTGGCAAGATTGCTGGAGGAGGTGCCCCCCGACGCCCCCACAGCCTCTGCACGGGTGTCTCTAGGCGCGTGGCTGCATCCAGCCGGAGCTGAGCTCGCGCGATTCTGGAGCCATCTGGGTTTCCGGAGACAGAACCAGGCGGAAGCCCCTTGCCTGTGCCGCCCCGGGGGCCCCTCCAGCTCTCCGCGGACTCCTTGTACCTCTGCGGGAGGGAGAGAGGGAGGGCAGGAGGCCCCAAAGGAAGATGGTTTGGGTTGTGGCGGTCTGCCAGGCGTTGGGAAGAGGCGTCCCCGGGGACCTGGCCGCCCCGGGTGGCCCTCCCTGAGCCAAGAGCTCCGCGTGCCCAGCCTTCCTCCCTTCCGAGGAGGAGCCGGCCTTCCCGCGCCAGGCCGGCAATTGTGTACGGATTGCAATTAAATTTATGGGCAAAGAGAGCAGTGTTGATCCTTCAGGTCTTAATTAATCATCAGCGTGATCGATCCGGCTCCTGAATCCCCCTCCTCCCCCACTGGGAAATTGATCCCGGGTCCCGCGCGACGCATCGATCTTGCTCCAGAGCACTAACAGCCTGGTTTTGAAATAATAAACACCAGTTCCACCGTGTGTCTTTCCGAAGGATGAGCCGGGGAGGGGGGGCTCCCTGGGGGCAGGGGGGCAGCGGAATGCCAATGCAGGCTGCAAGGGGGATTGCGGAGGAAGCCGGCAGGCGGGGGAGAAACCCCACGCAGAACGGAGGGGCTGAGGGGTGCCCTGGAGGGGCTGAGGGGTGCCCCGGTCGGCACCCGGCCACTCCCCAGGCGGAGGGCGCCAAGGAGCGTGCCTGTGCGCCAGCCCGGCCGCCGCTCTCCAAGCCCTGGCTTGCCCCGGGCGGGGGCCTCGCTCGTCCCAAGCGAGCGAGCGGGAAGCCAAGCCCCCCGGAGCTTCCCGGGGAGCTGATCCTAGCAGCACGTGGAAGCACAGACCCATCTCTCTCTCCCTCGCACGCACGCAGACTCACCTTGGCGGTAGACCCGCAGGGCGTCGAGCAGGCGGGAGCCGCGGATCTGGGCCCTCAGCAGGGGCACGTCCAGCTGCATGAGCCCGGCCTCCGAGTGCTCCCCGTGCAGGTCCAGCTCGCTGCAGCTCACCCGCCGGGCGCACGGCCCCCGGGAGTCGGCGCCCCCGCCGTCCGCCTTGGGCAGGAAGCAGAGCACGAAGTGCAGCCGCGACTTCCGCAGGGTGTCCACCAGCGCGTCCTGGGGGGAGCGAGGCGGCTGAAGGGCCGGGGGGGCGGGAGGGCGGGAGGGGGGTCCTCGGCCCGGCCACCCTCCGCATGGGGCCGCTCCACGCACCCCCCGGGGACTCACCGCCTGCAGCTTGATCTGGATGCAGAGCGACTTCTTCTTGACGGCCGCCACGCCGGTGGTGAAGGTCTTGCGCATGCTGGTGGCCCGGCGCAGGGCCAGCTGCGAGCCCCCCTCCAGGCCGGCCACGGAGCCCGAGAGCACCGTGGCGGTCCCGGCGCGGCCCACGAAGAGGCTGCTGATCATTTTCCTGCGGCGGCACGCAGTGGGCTCAGCCGGCTCCCCCCCAGGGGGACGCCCGGCCGGACGCCGAGGAGTGCGCGCCCCCCAACCCCCGGGGACGCGGAGGGCAGGGCGCCCCGGTCACTGGAGCGGGCCGGGGCGAGCGCCGCCGGGGCCCCGCAGGGCGAGGGCCGGGGCCGCCCGCCAGGGACACTCACTTCTGCGACTCCTGCAGCAGGGCCAGCGCGCCCTGCGAGGCCGGGTTCTGCCGGACGTGGCTCGGCCAGCCCGTGGCGTCGTACTCCACCCAGTTGGTGCCGCAGCTGTGGCCCAGGAAGAAGTGGCGGGGCTTGCTGCTCCGCAGCAGCGGGGCCTGGCCTGCGGGGGAGAACGGGATGCCAGGGGGGGCCGGCCAGGCGCCCGCTGCCCTTCCCCACGGGCCTGGGGAGCCGCCCAAAGCAGGGACGCCCACCGGCCCCTCCGGCGTCCCGGGGGCGGAGAGGAAGGGTGGCCACGGGGCCGCCGGCTGCCCTCGCGGGGCTCCCACGCCCCCGTCTGGGGCGGCCACGGGGGGGACAGGCGCGGCCCCGTTCCCCAGGGGGTACCTTTCTTGTCCCCGTCCTGCGGCCCGTAGTAGGCGAACAGCCTCTCCAGGAGGGTGTCCTCGTTGCCCCCCGGCTGCAGGGACTCCTCCTCCAGCAGCCACAGCAGCCCGCGGGCCTCGTCGGTCCGGGTGAGGGAGCGGACCTGCGGGGAGGCACCCCGGGGCCCGTCAATGCCGCCAGAAGCCGGGGCCCGGGGCTGGGGGGAGGGCGGGAGAGGCGGGGTACAGCCTGGATCGGGCCCCAAAGGGCCACAGACCCAGCGGACCCCCCTCCTCACGGCCCGCCTGCCCCCCACCCCAGGAGAGCCGCGTCTGCTCACAAAAAATGACATTTGCCCAGAAGGATCAATACTTAATACCAGAGACAGGAGAAACACAGATCGTCTAGTAAAATGCCCCCGCACGCGACGTTCACTCGGTACAAATTCAATCTGCAGGCTTAAGCGGCAAAATTACTCCCTGCAACGCAGCACGGAGTGGCTGGGGGGGGGGGCGGCCGCCCACGGCACACGCCGCACGCCACGCGCCGGTCCTCTGTGGGGCTGGTGCCATGGCCCCCGGTCGCGGAAACCTGGGGGGGACGGGGACTTCTCCCAGGCCCACGTCTCCAAAAATCCGACCAAAGATGGAAACCGCTCCCTCCCTGAGCGGGGGGATCCCCCTCCCCCCACCTTCGGGGGCCAGGCGAGCCACGAATCCGGCTCCCCGCCCTCGGACGGACCCCCTGCCTCTCCTGGCTTGCTGCCTGCCACGAACCGTGGCACCGGCATGGCTTTCCAGACACCGTTCCCATTTCCGAATCGCTGTGGCCCCCCCCCCCCCCGGGCCCCGATCCCGAGGAGAGTCAAAGCGGGCCCCAGGACCTCCCAGAGCCCCGCCAGGCCGCCTCGTTCCCCTCCTCCTTGCCCACACCAGCCGCCTCTGGTATTTTAAAAACCTGCCATTTTTGCAAAAAAGGGGAGACCGCTTCGAGCGGGCACTAGGAGGGGTCCAGTGCTCCGGGGGGGGCTCCGGGGGGGGCATTTTGCGGCCGTGCCACCCTTCCCGCCTCACTGAATTTTCAAGGATGGGGAAGAGCTGGAAAAAGCCGGGAGGCGCTGAGACGCGGAAGCTGCAATCTCAGCGCGAGGACGCGAGGCTTTTGGGAAACATTTCCACAACGTCCACGGGAAACGATCGTCGGGTTTGAAAATTGACCGGGGCGCGTGCGGCGTTAATTCGGGGCTCGTATCGCGCCGTCGGCTTGCCGCTTCCAGGGAATGCTGCGGGAAGGGCACAGAGCCGCTCCTTCCGTGTTTTTCCTCTCCGGAAAAACGTCAATTAAGCAGGGCGAGATGGAGCCGCCGCGGATGGTTGGAGCGGCGCGTCTTGGGGGAGAAAGAGACGTGCCCGGCGAGGGGGAGTCTCCGAATTCTTCAACTGAAGCGGGAAGGGGCTCCCGCGGCACCCGAAAGTTTTTCCAGAGCCGGCCCGGCAAGGGGAAAGCCGGCCCTCCCCGGCCGAGAGAAGCGGCGCTCCTGTCTCTTCAGCCTGCGCCACCGGCCGACCCACAACTCCCGCGGCCCCCCAGCCCCCGTGGCTCCGTGGCCCAGCCGATTTGGGGGAAGAAGCTACGGAGGCGCAGGCCAGCCGCCTCCAACCCGGCACTTTCCAGACTTCTTGGGCTGCGCCTCCCAGCATGCCCCAGCCCAGCAGTCCTGGCGCATCCGGAGGGCGCCAGGTTGGGGAGGGCTGGGGAAGTGGCTGGCTGAGGCACGGGCTGCCCCAGGCAGAGGCCAGGTCTAGCCTTCCGCTGGCCGGGGAAGCGCCCAGCGCCACAGGAGCCCATCCGGCGCGGTTCCCAGGCCCGCCTGCGCGTCTGGGCCAGGTTGGGGGCAGCCAAAAGGGCCTGGGAGTGAGGGGGCGGTGGGGCCGGGGCCGGGACCCCGTCCTCCCCCTCGCGCTCAGGCCTGCCTCCGGCTCGCCAGGCAGATCAGAGCGGGGCCCTAACTCGCCCTGGCAGCCCCCTCCCCACCTGGAGCCGGTGCTCTCTCCTCCTCGTTAGCACCGGCTAATTGGAAGCGTCAACGCTCTGCCGAGGTGCCTTCCCGGCAGTGAGTGGGTCCGCTCCCTCAGCCCAGAAGGCGCCGGCAGCAGCTTCCCCGGCACGGCACCCGTCCACCTGCGTGCCCCCGCGCAGGGGGCAGGCCGGGGACGCGTGCCGCTCGTAAGACCCCCAGCCCCCGGAGGGCCCCGCTGCAGATGCTCCAAGAGCAGCACCTTGACCTGTCCAGGGCACCGGGGGAGCCCGGGGGGCCGCCGGGTCGCCTGGGGCACCAAAGAAGCCAGGCCGTGGCTTCTGGGGGGCTCTGGGGAGCAGGGCGGGGGAGCCGCCCAGGTCCCGAATCAGGGGACGTCCCCGGCAGGGCACGGGCCGGCCTGCCCCGGGGCAGCCTCACGGGGGCCGTGGCCGCCACGCCCTGCTCCCCAGAGCCCCCAGCCCGTGACTTCCCCTGGCGCCGCGCAGCCGGCGGAGGCCACCTGTCCCATGAGAACGCGCAGAGAGCCCGGGCGAGGGGGGCTCCCCGGCACCACGGCCAAAGCGCCCTCGCCCCACACCATGCCGCCCGCCCCACACGCTGCGGTCCCAGGCTCCATCGCCACATGCTCGGGCGCCCCCGGCCAAGGAGCTCGCAGCCCCGCGCCCCCCGCTCCTGGCGGTGACGTGCCGGCCCCCAGGGGCCAGCGGCCTGGGGGGCGCGAGGAGGGAGCGGCGGAGGGCGGCGCCCCCCCGGAAAGCCCTGCATGCAGCTTACCAGAGCCTGCTGGGACGCTTGGTCTACTGTGGCTACTGAGCCCGAGTGGCCGGGCTCAAGGGCCTCTAGAGAAAGCGCTATGTTTTCCTAGAGAGGACGGACAGAGGAGGACGGATTAGTGGCTACAGAGTCCAGTTAAAGGCACCCAGAGGCAGAGAGAGACGGACGGACAGATGGACGGGCAGACAGAGGAGTGGGGGGAGAGGCGAGCCAGGAAAGGTGGTGAGTGCATTAGTCGGGGGGGATCTGCGGGGGTCACTCCCGTGCAGCAGGGGCTTCCCTGGGTTGGCCCCACCGCCCGGTCCCAAGCGCTCCTGGACGACGGGCCGCAAAGGGGCCGCCGGGCGGCAGGACGGGGCTCGCCCCCCGCCGTCCGTGCACAGGGGGGCAAAATGGAATTGCTTGGTGGGAGGGGGAGGGCGGCCCAGGCCTGCCCCGCAGGATGGGGGGCTGCACACGTCCGAGCGCTTGGAATGGCCGAGAGCAGCTGGGAGACGAGGCCCCGTGGAGCCCGCTCTGCTGCCCAGCACTCTGGGCTGGACTCCGGTGCCAAATAGGTGCCCAGAGGGGACTCGGGGACGGGGGTGCCCCTCTGTCAGGGCAGGGCCCTTCCTAGAGGGAGGTAAGGCACAGAGGGCCACGCCAGTGCAGCCAGGCCCCGGATGGGGGCTCCATCGCCTCTGGGGCGGTCCGAGGGGAACGGGAGAGAAACCGAGGCAGCTGTCCGCCCGGGTGCCGAGAGGTTCAGGCGCTTGGACGTGTCCCGGTTTCCCCGCCGTTCCCGCAGATTTGGGAAGACCAAAGAGGGAGGCCCAGGACAGTGGCAGGCGGAAGCCGGGCGGCCGTCTGGGGCAAAGACCAACCACGCCGCCCCTCTGCGGATGTGCCGGACTGTGGCACCCATCATCCCCGGCGGGCACGCCGACAGGGAATGCCGGGAGCTGCAGTCCGACGTGTCCCACAGGCTGACAGGCTGGGCAAGGCAGACCCAGAGCGGCTCGACCCGGCCCGACTTCAGCAGCAGAGGAGGAGGAGGAGGAGGAAGGGGAGGTCCCACGGAAGCCCCCGCGCCCGGATCAGAAACTATGGATGAGGGTTAAGGGGGGCCCCTCGGGCCAGGTGCCTAATTCTACGGGGGCTCGATTAGGAGGCGGAGCGGAAGGAGGGTTAGCGGGGCAGGAGGGGGACCCTAACGGCCCCTTGGGGCTGGCCCTTCCTGGCCCTGCAAGGGGGACCCCCGCCACCTTCGGGCCCCGCCGCGCCCCCTGGGCCGGCCCTACCTCCTTGTAGCGCTCCAGCTCGCGCACGAAGCTGTGCTCGTGGAAGAGCGTCTGCAGCCGCTCCTGCGCGTAGTTGTGGCACAGCTCCTCGAAGGTGGCGCCGCGGCTCCGGCCGGCCAGCTCGGGGTTCTGGAAGCCCGGCGTGTCCACAACCATCATGGAGCAGAGCGAGCGCTGGCTGGACTTGAGCGCCCTGGCGGGGGGGCAGCGGTCAGTCGGGGCCGCCCCGGCCCCCCCCCGGCCAGGAACACCCGCGTGGAAACGGGGGTGCGGGAGGCGAGTGGGGACCTCTCGCGGGGGGAGAGCGCCCCTGGCCGTGCGCGCTCGGCCGGGAGGGCTGGCTGTGCCGGCGGGGCTTGCCAAGCCCCCCGGCCGCGGCAGGGAGGGGAGGGGGCTTCCCGGCCGGGGGAGGAAGACGCCCCGGCCCGGCCGTACCTGTTGAGCAGCGAGATGAGCAGCGTGAAGAGCTCCGAGTACAAGCCCGAGGCGAAGGCCTCCAGGCACTCCAGGGCGGACGTCTTTGGGCCTGGGGACAGAGGAGCGCGCCGAGCGGTGAAGGCCCGGGAAGAGCCCGGCACCTGGAGCGTGGCCGGGGCGGGGGGCCCGGGGCTGAGGGGCACCGGGGCTCGGCATCCCGGGGCGGGGGGCACGCACCTGAGCCGTCAGGCAGCGCGGCTTCCTCGGGGCCCTGGCGGAAGGAGGTGGACCGCTGCAGGGCCCCCTTGGCCTGGTGCCGGAAGATGGCCGTGGAGAGCTCTTCCAGGGAGCAGCCCAGCAGGTAGGCGGCCTTCTGGGCCCACTCGTGGCGCGCGAACTGCCTCCTCCCGGCTGCAATCGAGAGACGGGGTCAGGGCCGGGGGGGGGGGCTTCCCTGGCCAGCCCAGCACCCCCCACACACACAGAGGAACCCCCGGAGGAGGGCGGCCCCCGGAGTCTCCGCAGGAGAGCCGCAGAGGGAGGGCGGCTCCCGTAGGCGGGGGGCTGCGCTGTATCAGAGCTGCCCCAGGACCCGGCGCCCGGCCCCATTGTTCTGCCTGCGGCGCGCCATGAGTGTGCGGAGGGAGGGGGCCGGGGAGGGCCGGCAAAACGAGAATGCACTTAGGGATTTGAGGAGGGCGCTTTGGGGTCGGCCGCTGAACGCCTCGTGCCAGGCGCTCCGTGGCGGGGGGGAAGCCGCAGGGAAGTGTCCCTCGCTCTGCCTCGCCGGCAGGAGGCTGGGGAACAGGGGGGTGAGGGCCGGGGACCCCCCGTGGGGGGCACCCCCCCGCAGCACCGCCCGGGGATCCTCTCCGCATGAGAAGACGGCGTCTCGCTCCTCCCAGGAGGGCCAGGAAACGTGGCTGGCAGGGAGCCCGGAGCCTGCCCGAATCCCGCAGCCAGGGTGGCCCATCCTGGCTAACTGCCCCCGGGCCTGACTGAAGCCAGGCAGGTGCCAAAGCTCCTATTGAGATCGACCCCTTCCTCCGAACCATGAGGAGTGGAACCTTGGCTTATTTCCAGGGCAAGGCTGCCACTCTGCAGCACAGCCCGGCTCTTTCTGCAGGGAGTCTCCAGTCCGCCGGGGAGGGCTCCCCCCGTGGCCTACAGCCCTCTTCCTTTCATCTCTGCCAGGGAGACGGGGCAAGAACCGGCCCACCGGCCTGCAGAGGCCATTTCCCGAGGCCAAGGAGGGGCCTGGGGAGCAGGGAAGCCCACCGAAGGGCCAAGGACTGCAAGCTGCCCAGGGCCGATCCCTCCCCGGGCCTTCAAGAGCCGCGAGACCGGGAGGCACCTGGCAAGGAGCGGCCTCGGTCGGGGGGCTGAGCCCCAGCCTGGCGTGCAAAGCGCCCCCCCCCCATTCAATTCGGAAGCCTGGCCCAGGCGTTCTCCTGCAGTCCTTCCGCCCACACAGGGCTGCCAGCCCGGCCGGCCCAGTGGCGTGGGGGCCCTGGGTGGGCCGCTGGGCAGCCCTGCTTGAGGACCCGCTCCCCGCGGACCACGTCACACGTGGGGGGGCGCAGGAGCCCCTCAGAGAAGCGGGGCTGAAGGCAGGGCCCACACGCCCCCGCCAGAGCGGGCCTCGGGCCCCGAAACCAGCCCGATGCAGCAGGGCGTGGCGGGCAGCGAGGTGGAGGGGGTGCGTGGGGCTGGGGGGGACAGGCAGGGGGGAGACAGACAGGGGGTCCGCTGGGGAACCAAGTGGGGAAGAGCTTTACCTTCGTCGGCGTCTGCGGGAACAAAGACAGCAGCATGCAGCATGCAAACACAGAAAGAGGGTGTTAGACGCCCCCCCGCGTGCGACGTGTGGGCGCTCCGTTTGGCGCCAGGCGCAGATCCGGGGGGCTGCTGGGGGCCCCGCCAGCCAGCCTGCCTCGTCTCCGTGTCCGTGTCCGGCCCAGGGACAATTCACACACTCGGGCCCCCGCAGGCACACGTGGAATATTAGACTGTGCGCACATGCGTGTTAGCAAGCGGCTGCGACCCGCCCCCACTGCCCAGGCAGGACTCCAGCGCCCCTGCGCCCCGTCCCCTCAGACAGCAGCCGCCCCGAGCTGCGCCCGGTGGCTGGGCTGCCCTCTCCTGGCCGCTGTGGGTGGAAACAGACGCCCTGCTTCTGGTTTAGAGCAGCTTTTCCCTTTGGGGTCAAGAGCGGGGGGCAGGGGGAAGCCCAAGGCTCTGCCCTCAGACTACAATTCGAGTGGCACAGACAGACCCCCCACCCCCAAAATGCCCCCCGTGCTCTTGGTGCAGTCGTCCGCTTTAAAAGCGAACGGAAGCAGGATGCAAGCACCAGTGGAATAAAGGTGCCCACAAGCTGGACAAGAAGCGGGCGTGAAGCTACTTGCCCCCCTTTATCAGGGCCGCTCTGGCAGCCAAGGGAGAGGGGGACACTCGGCTCACAGGCCAGCTCTGTCCGGCCCCTTCCCCCTCACTCGGCTCCCTCCACCCAGACCAGCCTCTGCAGGAACTTAGTGAACGTTAAGAACCGAGCCCGGAGCACGCTTGCTTTCCTCTTCCCGCCCCACAGTCCTTTCCTCTACACGCGACCCCATTTCGGGCACTGGCTCTTAACACTGCAAGCCTGACCGTTTTGCTCACTCCTGAGCCACATGGCGACCCTTTCCGACCACAGCGAGGGGTGCAAATGCTTGAATTAAATGAGTAAGGCGAGCCCGGCTGCGCCTGGCGCACCCCGCAGAGCGATTCCCGCCGCCTGGCTTCTTACCTTTGGTGGCCCCCGCAGCTCCCAAGTGATAGATGGCCCCCAGGACGAGCCAGAAGGCCTTCTGCTCCTCGCCGGAGATGCCCATGACCTTCATGGCCGCCTGGAGCTTGCTGAACTGCTGCGCCGCCTTCTGCTTCTCCTCCGGCTGCAGCCCGGGCAGAGAAAAGCCGGGGGGGGGGGGTCAGGGGCCCGCTCCAAAGCCCCGGGCACCGCGCGATGCCCCCCACCAGCCTTCTGCCTACCCCAGCCAGGTGCGCTGCCAGTCAGAGGAATCCTTGGGAACGGGGAGCCCCCTGCCTCCCCCCGGGGCCTTTCCCTTCGGCTGCCCCATGGGGGGGGGCCACAAGTCCCGGGGGGGCTCTGGGGCGGCCGCCTCCGTGCGCACCACCCTCGCCGAGGCCGGCCGGGGCCAAGACACGTGGGCGCCGCGGGCGTTACCTTGGACAGGGGCACGATCCCGAAGACGTGGTTCTCGGCCAGGTGGCTGAAGTGCAGCTCCGTCCTGCGAAGCGGAGGAGGCGGCTGAGGGCGGATCGGGTCCAACGCGGCCCGCCTCACCCTCCCCGCGGGGCCAGGCCCTGGCGGAGCAAGCCCGCTTTGCACCCTGGTCGACGGCCCGCCGGCCCAGGCAGGCAGGCAGGCAGGTGGGGGGGCCGTTCCTAGGTGGGGACGCGCCCTCCACACCTCTGGGCCTAGAGCCGGGCCACACAGCCCAGCTCGGGGCACAGCCCCGAAACTGGATTCGGCCTGGGAAGCCCTCCCGGGAAGGTCCACCCAGCGCCCTGCAAGAGGCCAGCCTCCGACCCCCCGCGGAGGCCGCTGCTCAGCTGTGCGCTCCCATCAGCCCCAACACCTTCGTGGAGCCGGGACCAGGGCATCCTGCAGGCTGTCTGGTGCTGGAGGCCATCAGGGGGCAGCAGGCGGCCCTCTGCCAGGGATGCTGGGCTGCGGAGTCCCGCACGGGGCAGGGTCTTGGACCCGACGGCCTTACGGCCCCCGTGGGACGCCACCTCGCATCCGTTCCAGGAGAGGCCTCCTTCGGCCCGGGCCGGACCCCATCTGAGGAACGCCAGGCCGGGCCCCTCGGCACACGCGGTCCGGCCACCCTCGCCCACCCGCCTTCCCGCGGGGTGCCGGGCTGCGCCCCCCAGGGGCCCGGCCGGCTGGGCCCCTCGTCTTACCGGAGGGCGTTGTCCGGACAGGCCAGCAGGTAGAAGAAGACGTTGAACGTGGCCTCGCCGGCGGGGCGCTTGGCCACACGCAGCTTCTCCAGCAGCATGGTCTGCGGGGCGCCGGAGGAAGGGAGAAGGGAGGGCTTAGGGCAGGGCCTGGGGGTCTCCCACCGGCCTCACGGACCCCCCAGGGCTGCCCAGCGGAGCAGTGGGGCGGGCCCTGGCACAGCCCTCCCCCTTGAGGGGCCGGGAGAGGCAATGCGGATGTACAGAGCGGCCCCAGGGAGGGTCAGCCAAGAGCCCGGCGGGACCCCAGGATGGCCGCTGCTGCCCCGGGGGGGGGGGGGACAGCTTCCCGGGGCCCCTGCAGCGGTGTTCTGCCCCCGCCATCCCTGCAGAGCGCTCCGGCCGGGAGGGCTTCCCGGGGCTCTTGCGAGGGTCTGCAGCCAGGGATTCCCAGGAGGGCGAGGAAAGACGGACCGAGCCAGGCAGAACGCAAAGATGGAGAAGAGAGAGGCAGGGAGAGGGACGGACACAGACGAGCCAGAAAGACGGGAAGCCGGCGGAGGAGCGAGACCAAGAGACCCAAACAGACGGCTAGGCAGACGGACGGGAGGAGGAGAACGCGAGAAGCAGAAAGGGGGAGGGGGACGCGGGGACGGAGAGGGCGCAACCAAGGCCGCTCGCTAGGCAGGCCGAGAAAGAGCCAGCGCGGGGGGCGGCACCTGGCCCGGGCTCACCTGCACGGAGGCGGAGGCCACCTGCCCGGCCTGGTCGAAGTCCAGCGAGAGGATCTGCGAGACGCGCGTGGCGTTGCCGTTCAGGCAGCTGCCGGCGTTGCCGAAGGCCTCGAGGACGGTGTACAGCGCCTGCCACTTCTCCACTGCGGGCACAAGCGGGGCGCTGCAGCCGGGGGGCTCGGCGGGGGAGCGTGCGCAGCCGGAAGGCACCTGCTTGCGTGCCGCCGGGTGGGGAGGGGAGCGAGCGGGGCCCCGCCGGCCGCCGGCAGCACGAATTGGCTCGCGAGGGGACGGACGGAGCCCCCCACGGCACCCCCGGAGCACAAGGGGAGCTGCAGCAGCCCGGCCAGGGGCCCCCCAGGGCGGCATGGGCTGGTCGGGGCATGCTGGCCTGCGACTGGCCCTCCTGGAGCAGACTGGCCACGGGGCCCGGCTTGCCATGGGTGGCTTCCCTGGCTCATCACTCAGAACCATGAGGACCAGAAACTTATCCTAGGGGGCTGGGGCTGGCCGGCGGCTCTGTGGCAGAGCCCCCGCTTAAGATGCCACTTCTGGGCAATGCGGAAAAGCCTCCGGCATGCGGCCTCGGAGGGGCCCTGTGGCTCCCCCATGCCGGGCGGGGGCCAGCATCGTCCCGACCGGGGGCACCCCTTGGCTCGACAGGCAGGCCCAGGGCTCCGCCGCCCCCCACGGCCCCCGGGGCCGCCCACCCACCTGAGAAGACCTTCCCGGAGCCGCCGGCCACGGTGGCCAGGTACTGCACCAGGTGCTGGCAGTTGGTGGTCTTGCCGCTGCCGCTGCTGCCCAGCAGCACGATGGCCTGGTCCTGGCGGCTCATCAGCATGGCCCGGTAGGCGGCCTGGGCCACGGCGTAGATGTGGGGCGAGGTGTCCTCCCTGCGGCACCCCTTGAACATGTGGATCACCTGCGGGGGGGGGAGGCACGGCCTCAGCGTGGGAGGCAGGACCCCGGCCTCTCGGCCACGGAGCCGGAGCCGGAGCCGGCCCGGGCCGCCCGGCCGCCGCGCTCACCTTCTCGGAGTACATGGACGGGGCGCTGAGCGGGTTGATGGCCACCATACTGGGCCCGGCGTACGTGTACACGAGGTTCCCGCCGTAGCGCTGGCGCAGCGTGTGCAGGACGCTGGACTCGTTCAGGTAGACGAGGCTGGCCAGGTCCTCCGCGCGGTCCACCGAGGGCGGGTTGGCCTGGGGGCGAGAGCGGCGCGAGAGGTGGGCCGGGGCCGCGAGCCCCGGGGCCGGCCGGCCCACCCACCCGTCCACCCACCCACCCGCCCGCCCGGCCCGGCCCGCCCCTACCTTCTCCACGTCGTCCTCGTCCACCTCCAGCACGGCCCCGTCGTGGTCCAGCTTGACCTTAACCTTCCCCTCGGGCAGCAGCCCGGCCGCCTCCGGCTTCAGCTGGCTGGCTGCGGGACGGGAACGCGGGACGCGGAGGTCAGGCGGGGGGCGCCCTGGCCCGGCCCGCCGGCTCAGATTCCCGCCTGCGCCGCGCGAGCCCCGGCAGCAGAGGCCGCTCGGGGGTCCGGCCGCCCCGCCACCCCAGGCTCGTCTCGGGGCACGGCGGCCGAACGCCGATCGCCGGAAGCAGCCCGCCGCCTGGGCGCCGTGACGCGGAAGCTGTGGGACTGGCTGCCGGGTCCCGTCCGGCCCCGGCACCCGCTGGCACCCAGGGCAGCCACACAGGCCAGGGGGCTCACGGGGGGGGGGGCGGTGCAGAGCCGAGGCGCTGCTGCCCCCTGGTGGCCCGAGCGGAGCGGGCGCCTGGCCTTCGCTTACCTAAGGAGAAGCCGTCGGCGTGAACCAGCCATACTTTCTCGGTCTCGTACCAGGCCTCCTCGGCAGCAATTTGCTCCTCCGTCTTGGCCTGGGGGGCAAGTTTGTGGGGGGGGACAAGAGTGGAGACGTCACTGCACGGCCCCTCCCAGGCGCGGCAGGGCTCTGCCTCCCCTGCACGTGCTTTGGGGCCGGTTTCTGGCCTACCTGTCCTACCTCGCAGGGCTGCTGTGAAGACCACGGGAGCCCCCTTGTGGGAAAGGGGGGTATACATGCAATCAGGAGAGAAGCCCTTCCGGGATCGATTCTGTTACGGGGGTCCCAGGCCCACCCCACAGCCCCGGGGTGTGGGTCCAGGGTTCAACTCTCCGCTCAGGAAAAGCATCCCACAACCACGCGCAGAGTGCGGTCTCTGCCAAAGAACTTATGTGCACCCACGCCCGCAGACCGAGGGGCTCCTCTCCACACCCCCCCAGAGGCCACCCGGCCACCCCCCCGCTGCAGAGTGCTGAACAGAGGGCCCACTCGCGCCTGCCCCCTCCTTCCACAGCGCTCTTCTCCCCCCCAACTTGCAGCGGGACCCCCGGGCCTCTTCCCCAGCCTTCCTTGTGTGGGGCCGCCGGACGCCTCACACGACAAGTCCGGAACCAGCTGGCCTGGGTCCTGCACCTTGCACCCTGCCTCACCTCTGCCGCGCAGCCGCTCCCCTCCTGCCGCTCAGGAGGCTCCTCGGGGCAGGGACCCTCCTGAGCAGGGCTTCCCGCATGGAGCTGCACACATTGCCAGCACGAACGAGCGACGAGCGGCAGGAGAAACCTGGCTGGCGCAGCTCAGGAGCCGTCCTGATACCCGGCCGGGCGGACTCTGGACCCCCGCGGGGGGGGCCCTTCCCCTGCTGGGTCCGGCCCCCCCACAACCAAAGCCCTCTGGCTTGAGACGGTGCGCAAATATGTTTGGGGGAGCACCCAGCTGCTTCTGGGGGCCGAGAGCAGGTGCCCTCGGTCCTTCCGAGCAGGTGGCAGCGGCGGCCCCGGGAGAGGTGCGGCAACGCAATGGCCCCCCAATGGCCCCCCAGTGGCCCCCCGCGGACGGGCGACGGAAAGGGGGCGGCAGGCCCGGCGAGCCACGAGGGGTGAAGAAAGCCTTACACTCCAGCAGGAGGCGCGAGCACAAACACCGGCCCAGAGGCAGGAGGGAGACGCAGGGAGGTCCGGCGCGCCGGGGTACCGTACCTGGCCAGGAGCAGCCGTGGGGGTCGCAGGCTCCGGCTGGCGCAGCGGGTGAAGGAGAGAAGAGAGAGAGGTCAGACGCGCGGCCGAGGGCCCGGCGGCGGGGCGGGGGGCGTCCCCCCGGGAATCCTCGGCGGGCCGCAGACACCGAAGGGGGGACGAGGCGGAAGGCCCCCGGGAACTCCTTCCGCAGGCAACGGGCATGCCTCCCCAGTCCCCCCGCCGGGCCCGACCCGCTGTCCGGAAAGGCGGCGGCGTGGGAGGACCGGGGAGGGGCTGCGTCGTAACCGGGGCCCAGGGGCCCTGCTGGCCCCCTCCCGCCCGAGCAGTGAGAAGGGCCCTGGGCAGGGAGCAATGATGCGCAACGCCAGCGCAACTGCAAAGCCAGGCCAAAACCGTCGTTCCTGTGGGACCGCGTCCCGGACCTGGCCGGGATCCGTCGAGTGCACCGGGGATCATTCGTGGTGCCAGCCTCGGGCGGAGAAAGGCACGGCCGAGGGAGGGCCCCCCAGGCGCGCGGAGGCCTCCCCCAACCCGGGGCCCCTCCGGGCCGGGCCGGGCCGGCTCACACGCCGCTGGCGCAAAGGCACACACCAGCCGGGGACGCCCAAGCGGCCACAAGACTGGGATCCGGAGAGCCCGATAATGCAACTTAATCACGACAGGCTAACGAGGGTCTACAGACACGCTCAGGGGATAAATCTGGGAGAGGCGCTCTTATCCGCACCCCCTGCGGCTGGCGGATTTGTCTCTCGACAAGAGAGCGGTACATTTTGGAAGGGTTTAACTGTTTTCAGGTGAGATGGCGACACCCACCCTCAATGTTTGCAAATGCCTCAAATCCGAGATTCAACAGCGGTGACTGTTAAGTGAGGACAGAATCAAATATCTACTCCTGGGATTACTAAAACAAACAACGCTCTTAGGATTTGATGCAGGGAAAAGTGCCTCCAAGCGCTTCGGGACACGTTTTTGGAGATTTCGCCTGATCCAGGCGCTGGCCAAGGAGAGCCGCTTCATCAATCCAGGTGCTGAGGGCGGCTTCTCCCGGCACCCCCCAGGCCAGCACAGCTGGGGGAACCACATTCCCCCAACATGGAGGCGCCCAGCAACTCCCCCCTTCCCACTTTCCCGATTTCTTGAGTTAAAATACGCCAAAGTGCCAAGAAATGTCAGGAAACACAGGCCCCAGGTGTGAACGGTTTGAGACCAGTTTCAGTTCACGCACAGCACCCCAGTGTGAAAGTCCCAGGGGCGCACAGAGAACGGAAAGGACGCCTCTTTCTCTCTCGGAGAACGGGAATTTGGGCCGCGCACCTTCCTTGCCCACTGCAGGAGGGGAACGGCAGTGCCTTCCTGGGTGGGTGGGTGGGTTTAAGGTGTGCGAAATGTTTAAAATAACCATGTAACCTCTAGGTTATCATTAGAATTATCGCCGACTGCACGCGTCAACTGCTCTGGAGCCAGAAGTGTGACAAGGACTGAGCTGGACAAACGCGGAAGGAAGCCGCCCGCAGGCGGGTTGGGGACCGTGCCAAGCCAGCCCAGGTGCCCCCACGGGGCGGCTTTTTCGGGGACGAAAGCTTGCTCTGGGCAGCGCATGCTTCCCCTCCGGCGCTGCCCTGCCAGGGACTCTGCAGCAATTCCGCCAGGCGGGAGGGAAGCCAAGAACGCCTCCCCCCCCCGCGGGGACTGTGGCCCCACAGACCCTCCGAGCAAAACGCAGCCTCGTGTGCGGACGGCCTGCACGGAGCCACAACCCCCGCCGGCCCAGGAGTGGAAACGAGTCCCCGCAGCCGGCTGAGCCACCGGCGTCTCAGCAAGGCGCCCTCCGGGCACGGGGCACCGTTCCCAGCCTGCGCCCCAGGCTCCGAGCCGACACGGCGCCGAGAAAGCGAAGCTTCACCCGCGGGACACACCTGACGGACGGGGGCCTCTCCGGAAGGCGATGGCTTCTCCGCGGGCTTTGACGGCGGGGGCTTCTCCTTGGGAGAGTCAAGCAGGAGGGGTCACGTGCGGCTTGTGACCCCCAGCAAGGCACGCCACACACACACGCCAAGCCCCAAGGCTGTGCCCGCCGCTGGACAGGGCTCAGGCCCGGGGGGAGACAGGCATCATGCTGCGGAGCCAGGTGCCTCGCGGGCTCAGCCTGGCTAGCCCCACCTGGCGCCACCTCGGAGCACGCCGGGGGGCTCCATCACCGTCACCCCGATGATTATTTCCGTTCTCTGCTGCCCGCAGCCGAGGCCGCCTGGACGGGTCCCCACCAGGAGGGGCTTCCTGCTGCCCACGCCAGAGCGGCCGGGACGGGGCCAGAGAGACGGACACGGCGGCACGTGCTTGGCTGGCCCACCGGCTCGGCTCGCCATGGGCTGTCCACGTCCACACTAAGTTAACCGCGCGCTCACACGGCACACCGTTAGCATTCGGGCAAAACCAAACCAGAGGCAGATGCGGGGCCCTCCTCAGGGCTTGCGGGGCCGAGGCCAGGCGGGGAAACTGTGGGGGAGTTCATCATGCCGCGAGACTGGGGGAGGAGGGTGCAGGGGGTGCTGCCGTCGCCATGCCGGTCTGCCCCCCTTCCCGGGCGGTGCGCCAAGCCATGCGTGCCCCGGATGCGCCCCCAGGCCGGGGCCGAGCGTCACTACCTGGTCTTCGGCTCGCGCCGGGGGCCCTGCCGGCTTCGCAGGTGGGGCCGTGGGGGTCAGCGCTCCCGTGCCATCCACAGGCGGCCCCTGGGCGGCAGGGGGGGCTTTCGGGGCCTCGGGGGACTTCGCCGCCTCCCTCCTCTCGAGGAGCCGGGAGCGGGGCCGGCGCTCCTTCGCCTTGGCCCGCAACATCAGGCTGCGCAGCCCCGCGGAGAGGTCGTCCTTGGGGGCCGCCTCCCGGGGCTCCGGCTTGAGCGAGGACGGGGGCGGCGGGGGTGGCGACAGCACGCGGGGGGGCGCCGTCGGGGGGGCCCCCGGCGGGCCGCTCAGCTCGGGGGACACGGCGCCCCCAGGCTCCTCGCCAGGGAGCACCTTGCACACCACCTTGCGCACGACACGCACCACGCGCTTCCGGGACAGGCCCTGCACATCGTCACAGGGCGGCGCCGGGGGGCCGTCCCCCAGGGCCCCCCCCGGGCCGTGCAGGGCCCCGTTGAGCAGTGGCTCCAGGCTCTTCGCTCTTCCGGGGCCCTTGGGGGACTCCTCCTTGGCTGGGCTCGGGGCGGCCGGCTGCAGGCAGACGGAGGGAGGCGTTACCGGGGGCGCGGGGCCAGCCGGGGCCCCCACAGGTGCGGGCGGCCACATCCCCTCCCGTGGGGCCTCCCGCCTCGGCCCGCGCCCCCACGGCGAGCAGCCGCTGCCAGCCGGTGCAGGAGGGCCCCTCGCTGGCTGCCGGGCCTGTGGGGGGCCGGGCGATGCTGCGCACTTCCCGGAGGGGTGGGGTGAGCCAGACAGGCCCGGGGCACTGGCCGTGGGCACGGGGGGGCAGCGAACGCTCTGGGGCGCAGGGCCCGTGGACAGACCCCTGAGACTCGCGTGGGCCCACCCCCGCCTCGCGCCCCCTGCTGAAGCCCCCAGGGGAGAGGAAAGGAAGGCCCGGGACGTCTTCAAAGGGGGAACCGTTGTGCCAGAGGGACTACAAAGGAGGCCCCAAAGCGAGCCTGGGGCTGGCATGGCTACGGGGAGCGGGGGGGGGGGCATCCGCCCGCGGGCACAGGCCCGAGAACAACCTCCTCCCCCCGTGCCCCCCAAGTGATGCGCTCCAGGCATGCCCTGAAAGCAGAGCCTGGAGCCGGGCTGACGCTGCCCCCTGGGGGTCCGGACAAAAGGAAACGGGAGGCTGCGGCCAGCGCTGGGACCCGAGGAGCCCTGGG